GTACGAAGGCCTGTTCCAGAGCCGATGTCTTCTATAGGCGTGATAGGCAACTCATATAAGCTCTTTTAGGTGATAGTTTAAGGTCTTGTGGTCAAATCGTATGCCTATCTCGGCTGATCATTGAGTCATTAAGAATTGCATACTCCATATTAATTAATGCGCAAAATCGGTGCCACTCTGGAAGCATTTGGCAATTTTTGCTCAGTATCTCTCTGTCTGTCGCTTACCACGCCATTTGGAGGCCATAATATTTCCTCTAAGACATGTAGAAAGCATTGTAATCATTTTCGGTCCATTTATTGTAATCATCTTTCGGTCCAATTTCCGAGCCAGTGCTTTCACCGCACCCCAAAATTGGTAGGTATACCCCCTTGGGTCTTCAAAGCCCCTGTGCTTAAGGCCTGTTAAGACATGTAGAAAGCATTGTAATCATTTTCGGTCCATTTCGAGCCAGTGCTTCCCGACCCCAAAATTGTAGGTATACCCCTTGGGTCTTAAGAGCCCTGTGTTAAGGCCTGTTCCGGAGCCGATATCTTCTTTACACGTGACGGGCAGCACCTACAGGCTCTTCAAGGCGATATTTTAAGGTCTTATGAACCAATCAGTATGCCTATCCCGGCTGCTCATTGCGTCATTAAGAATTGCATACGCCATATAAGTTCATGCGCAAAATCGATGCCACTCGGGAAGCATTCAACAGTTTTAGCCCAATATCTCTCTATATGTCGCTTACCTCGTCATTTTGAGGCCATAATGTTTCCTCCAAGACATGTAGGAAGCATTGTAGTCATTTCTGGGCCATTCGAAGTCGGTGCTTCTGGGCCTCAAAATCGTAGGTATACCCCTTTGGTCTTAGGAGCCCTATGTGAAGGTCTGTTCCGGAGCCGATATCTTCTTTACGCTTGACCGGCAGCTCATACAGGCTCTGCTAAACAATATTTAAGGTCTTATGGTCCGATCGATATGCCTATCTCGGAAGCTCGTTGAGTCATTAAGAATTGCATATGCCATATAAATTAATGTGCAAAATCGGTGGCACTCCAGAAGCATTTGGCAGTTTTAGCCCAATATCTCTCTGTCTGTCACTTACCACAACATTTCGAGGCAATAATATTTCCTCAAGACACGTAGGAAGCATTGTAATCATTTTCGGGCCATTCCGAGCCGGTGCTTTCGGACCCCAAAATTATAGGTATACCCCTTTGGTCTTAGAAGCCCTGTGTGAAGGCCTGTTCCGGAGTAGAAATCTTCTATACACCTGATGGGCAGCTAAAATAGGCTCTTCTAAGTGATATTTTAAAGTCTTATGGTCCAATCGGTATGCCTATCTCGGCTGCTCATTGAGTCATTAAGAAATGCATACACCATATAAATTAATGCACAAAATCGGTGCCACGCCAGAAGCATTCAGCAGTTTTAGCCAATATCTCCATGTCTGTCGATTACTACGCAATTTTGAGGCCATAATATTTCCTCCAATACATGTAGGAAGCATTGTAGTCATTTTTGGCCCATTCAAAGCCGGTGCTTCCGGGCCCCAAAATCGTAGGTATACCCCTTTGGTCTTAGAAGCCCTATGCGAAGGCCTGTTCCGGAGCCGATCTCTTCTTTTCACCTAACGGGTAGCTCATATAGGCTCTTCTAGGCAATATTTTAAGGTCTTATGGTCCAATCAGTATGTCTATCTCGGCTGCTCGTTGAGTCATTAAGAATTTGCATATGCCATATAAGTTAATGCGCAAAATTCGTGCTACTCCAGAAGGATTTTGCAGTTATAGCTCAATATCTCTCTGTCTGTCACGTACCACGCCATTTCGAGGCCTTAATATTTCTTCTAAGACATGTAGGAAGCATTGTAATCACTTTCGGGCCATTTCGAGCCGGTGCTTCCGGGCCCAAAATTGTAGGTATACCCCTTTGGTCTTAGGAGCCCTGTGTGAAGGCCTGTTCCAAAATCGATATCTTCTTTACGATAGAGGGGCAGCTCGTATAGGCTCTTCTAGGTGATATTTTAAGGTCTTATGGTCCAATCAGTATGCCTATCTCGGCTGCTCGTTGTGTCCTTAAGAATTGTATACGCCATATAAATTAATGCTCAAAATCGGCACCACTCCAAAAGCATTTGGCAGTTTTACCCCAATATCTCTCTGTGTGTCGCTTACCACGCCATTTTGAGGCCATAATATTTCCTCAAAGACATGTAGGAAGCATTGTACGCCAATTTTTGAGGAGGCCATGAGGCCATAATATTTCCTCAAAGACATGTAGGAAGCATTGTAATCATTTTTAGGCCATTCCGAGCCGGTGCTTCCTTGCCCCAAAATCGTAGGTATACCCCTTTGGTCTTACGAGCCTCATATGAAGGCCTGTTCCGGAGCCGATATCTTCTTTACGCCTGACGGGAAACACCTACAGGCTCTTCAAGGCTATATTTTAAGGTCTTATGAACCAATCGGTATGCCTATCTCAGCTACTCGTTGCGTCATTAAGAATTGCATACGCCATATAAGTTAATGCGCAAAATCGGTGCCACTCCGGAAGCATTCAGCGGTTTTAGCCCAATATCTCTCTGTCTGTCGCTTACCACGCCATTTTGATCGCTTACCACGCCATTTTGAGGCCATAATATTTCCTCCAAGACATGTAGGAAGCATTGTAGTCATTTCTGCACCATTCAAAGCCGGTGCTTCCGGGCCCCAAAATCGTAGGTATACCCCTTTGGTCATAGGAGCCCTGGGTGAAGGCCTATTCCGGAGCTGATATCTTCTTTATGCCTGACGGGCACCTCATACAGGCTCTTCTAGGCAATATTTTAAGGTCTTATGGTCTAATCGGTATGCCTATCTCGGCTACTCGTTGAGTCATTAAGAATTGCATATGCCATATAAATTAATGCGCAAAATCGGTGCTACTCCAGAAGCATTTTGCAGTTTTAGCTCAATATCTCTTTGTTTATCACGTACCACGCCTTTTCGAGGCCATAATATTTTCTCTAAGACATGTATAAGACATGTAGGAAGCATTGTAATCACTTTCGGGCGATTCCGAGCATATGCTTCCGGGGCTAAAATCGTAGGTATACCCCTTTGGTCTTAGGAGCCCTATGTGAAGGCCTGTTCCGGAGCAGATATTTTCTTTACGATAGACAGGCAGCTCGTATAAGCTCTTCTAGGCGATATTTTAAGGTTTTATGGTCCAATCAGTATGCCTATCTCGGCTGCTCGTTGCGTCCTTAAGAATTGCATACCCCATATAAATTAATGATCAAAATCAGCACCACTCTAGAAGCATTTGGCAGTATTAGCCAATATCTCTCTGTGTGTCGCTTAGTCGCTTACCACGGTGGACCCGTTTTGAGGCCAATAATATTTCCTCTAAGACATGCTAAGACATGTAGGAAGCATTGTAATCATTTTTGGGCCATTCCGAGCCGGTGCTTCCTTGCCCCAAAATCATAGGTATACCCCTTTGGTCTTAGGAGCCCTGTGCGAAGGCCTGTTCCAGAGCTGATATCTTCTTTACACCTGACGGGAAGCTCATACAAGCTCTTCTAGGTAATATTTCAAGGTCTTATGGTCCAATCGGTATTCCTATCTTGACTGCCCAGGGCGTCATTAAGAATTGCATACGCCATATAAATTAATGCGTAAAATCGGTGCCACTCCGGAAGCATTTGGCAGTTTTAGCCCAATATCTCTAATTAATGCGTAAAATCGGTGCCACTCCGGAAGCATTTGGCAGTTTTAGCCCAATATCTCTCTGTCTGTCCCTTACCATGCCATTTCGAGTTAATAATATTTCCTCTGAGACATGTAGGAAGCATTGTAATCATTTTTGGGTCATTCCGAGTTAATGCTTTCGACCCCAAAATCGTAGATGTATCCTTTTGGTCTTAGGAGTCCTGTGTGAAGGCCTGTTCCAGAGCCGATATCTTCTATATGCCTGATGGGCAGCTCATATAGGCCCTTCTAGGCGATATTTTAAGGTCTTATGGCTCAATCGGTATGCCTATCTCGGTTGCTCATTGAGTCATTAAGAATTGCATACACCATAAATATTAATGCACAAAATCGGTACCACTCCGGAAGCATTTAGCAGTTTTAACCCAGTATCTCTCTGTCTGTCCCTTAACACACCATTTCGAGGCCATAACTGGAGTTCCACTACCAGGTTCCTCCATTTCCATTATCTATTTTTTATTTTATTCTCGATTTATTTTTATCTTTTTCGCCATGGGACGTCTTCGTTTCTCTTCCTATTTCTCTCTCTCTCTATATATATATATATATATAAACAGACAAAGAAGAAGAAATGTTGAATTTACTTGTATATAAACAACTAATTAAATTTTATTTATTTTATTTGATTAATGAAAATTATTACACGATAAATGAATTCTAAGTTCCACTGCTGATTATTGAATTGAGAATACAAAGAGGATGCAAATGCTTAATTTTTGGTGTGCATTATTTATTGGTTTGATTGTTTGCATTTTTATTTAAGTGGAATTCTAATTTTTTTTTTTTTTGTTCTATTTTAATATTATTATGTATTGTAATTTTATTATTTTCATGTTGAATTTTAATATGAATTTTTTATATATATTTTTTTGTTGCATTTTGAGGCTCAGATTCAGGTTTCAAATGGTTGGATGTCAATGGACTGAAAGAATTTATAATAAAGGATTCGGCTAGTAAGCGGGTAATGTCTATACGCGGGCAATGTCTATACGGATTCGGGACTTGTTGGTATACTCCTTAATAGATTTGGGACGAATTTTAGGTATTGGCAATCGGGTTCGGATTCGGAAAACTGATTTTTAGCGGGTAACCGCCCGCTGCCATCCCTCGTCTCAACCTCGCGTTCCAAAAGTTGCATCATCAAAACCCCTCATATATTCGCAACCCTGACAAATTTTCCTTTTTTTCTCACTTTCCTCTCTAACCTAACACTTCAAACTCCAAAGTTCACAATTCACTTCAAACTCCAAAGTTCTCTAAATGGATCCTCTCTCCGCCCTCCGGGACTTCACCATTCGCGGAGAGGTCGACAAAATCGTGCGTGTCAACAACGAGTTCCGTTTCGGCTCTGATTATTCCTTCCCTTGTTCTATAAAAACCGCCTATCGCTCCAAGCAAGGCAATCTCTACACTCTCGAAACCCTAGTCTACTTCATACAAAACGCCAATCTCAAGTTCACCGATTACTTTCAAAATGCAGTAGCAGCCGGTATCCCCGCCATCACATTTATTGACCGTAAGCCTCTATTCGATTACCTTACCGGAAAACTCTCCTCCACTGAGTCCATTGTTTTCCCTCTTCCAGAACAGCAACAGCAACTTCAACAACCAAACCAAAACCCTAGTTCTGATCTAACCCACGAGTACCGACCTGATGATCCTGTATTTATTGATTCTCATGATGCTGACGTGGCCGGAGCTGATAATGCAAAAGAAGAGAATTATATTACTATGATATACTCCATGGAAAGGCCTCTCAAGGATCGGGAATCGTTGTTGGAGTGTAAAAACAGAGACTTTTATAGCGTGTTGGTTGCTTCTACACGGCGTGAAGAGGAAAGACAGAGACTTGAATCTCAGCAAAGGAAAGATGGATTGGTGGCTAAGAGTAGATTGATGGGGGCTGATGAGAGGGGAATTGTGTATGGTGATGATATGGGTTATGATTCAACGCCTAAACCCAAAATGCATTTGAAAGGTGGTAAATTTGGGGAGGGAGTGCCTATAATTTTGGTTCCTAGTGCATTCCAGACTTTGATTACTATTTATAATGTGAAGGAGTTTTTGGAGGATGGAGTTTATATACCCACAGATGTGAAGGTGAAGCAGATGAAAGGGGCGAAGCCAGATTGTGTTACAGTGCAGAAGAAGTTTAGTACTGATAGGAACAGAGTGATGACTGCTTATGAGGTTAGAGATAAACCTTCTGCTCTCAAGGCTGAAGATTGGGACCGGGTTGTGGCAGTTTTTGTTTTGGGGAAAGAATGGCAGTTCAAGGACTGGCCATTCAAGGATCATGTTGAGATATTTAACAAAAGTGAGTGCAGTTTGTGCTTTGTAGATTTTGGTGCTTTACTTTTGGTTTTGCATTTTTTTTCTTCTTGTTATTGTTTCTAGTCACGTGGGTTTTACTTGGATGAATTTAGGGTGTGGGGATTTTGTTTAAAATTGTGTATCGTTTGATTTCTAGACATATTTAGTTTTAAATTGTTACAATGTTTCACTGAATTTTTGTGCAGTTATTGGATTTTTCATGCGTTTTGAGGATGACAGCATTGAATCAGCTAAAACTGTGAAGCAGTGGAACGTAAAGATCATCTCGGTGAGTATTTACTTATTTTTTCTGGCTGCTTCATGCTTACAGCCTTGTTTTCTATTAGATTTTGGTTTGCTGCTTGTCCGTGTTATTTTTTTTTACTACTTTACTTTTCCACGTTGTTTGTTTCTTGGCAATTAAACATGTAACACTGGTAATGTGCAGATTAGCAAAAATAAGAGGCACCAGGACAGGGCTGCAGCATTAGAGGTGTGGGACAGACTAGAAGAATTTGTTCGATCGCGATCCCATTCTTGAAGTTCGTAGTGGAGGAGGCTGTTCCTTTTTCCATGATGCATTCAGACACATTGTTATAGCGTAGTTTGGCCAGTCAAGTGTTTAATTTGGATGCCTTCTGTTGAGCTGCATGTTATTTCAACTGCATTCCGGGGACTGCTTGTTGCCAGACTGTTATATAGTTTACTGTGATTAGGCTAACATTGCTTGATCTCTGGATGACTTTTTTTCTTTTCTTTTTGATGCACTTTGGCATATTTGAGTTCACTATCTTGCCCTGTCTGCCTTACCTTTCAATTTGCCAGTTATTTTTGGCTCTTTAAGTAGCTTGCGTCATTTATCTGCAGGCATTTTTCTGGTTGTCTGTGTGATGTTGAATGATCACCTTGTATAATTGAATAGTCAATGTTTATTCTATTTCTGGTTCAATTCATGCTGTGGGATCCATCTTGACGTTTTCTGTAAGATGGAGACTTTTTTTCTTCTTTTGATGATATGATGCGGGCAGAGCAATGGGAGAGTATTTTGTTCAAGTTGAATGATTCCAAAAGATTCAGAAGAATAGTTGGATCTGTTGCTGGTTCATGCTTAACAGCAGCAACACCTTCACTAGCTTCAATGAACCAAGCAGCATGCTTGATAGCCCTGGATATAGTCCAGGTACCTGTTTTCCCCAATAATTTTTCAACTTTGCTGACACGTTGTAACAATAAGTGAATTTATTTAAGCTGTTAAAAGGATAGATATGAAACTTAAGTTGCCTTTGACCTCTTGCCATTTTTGAGGCTCTTATCCAACACTAATTTCCACACATAAGAATCTTGTAAGCATTTTTGTCATCTTGCAAGTACTGTTCCTTCTGAAACCAAAAAAGTGTTAATGTTACAAAAATTAATTGGAAGGAAAGATGGATGACCATCAATAGCTGTAGAGATGATTCTCATGTTTTGTTTTCTTTCTCCATATCTGAAGATGCACTATTTAAATTCCATCAAATGTTTGACATGCTTTTGTTATTGGCACCAGAGAAATTAGTTGATAAATTTTTATATTTCATTTCCATGACAAATGACTATCTTAGGATGGCATTGCAACATTGAATAAAGTGGAAGAAGCTTATCGGCATGAGAACATCAAATGTTTGACATGCTTTTGTTATTGGCACCAGAGAAATTAGTTGATAAATTTTTATATTTCATTTCCATGACAAATGACTATCTTAGGATGGCATTGCAACATTGAATAAAGTGGAAGAAGCTTATCGGCATGAGAAGAAAGCTAAAGAAACAATTGAAGAGGTGATTCGTTCATACTCATTGTATCAGCTTGAAGATACTCTGGATGCTGCTGAGGATGGAGCTGATGAGAACAGATTACTTCCAGCAACGAACAAATTATGGCCTTTCATGGTCACCTGTGTTAAAAATAAAAACCCAGTGGTACTTATTCATATTTTCTGCTTTGAATATGATATGGAAACTTCTGTCTTGATTACTATTAATTGCAGTTTTGAATGCATAATTTACAACAAGCTCCATTCTCATTCTGTCGTCTATTTATGCTTTCTGATTTGCCTGACAAGTTGAAAGCAAAATGAAAGAAATTTCTGTATAAGTGTATAGGATAAATGTTGTCAATAGGGTTGGAATATTGAGTTTATTTATTTGTTTATTATTGTTGCTATAACTCCAACTTGCACGGATTAAGTTCATAAGCACTTTCTGTTGCATAGTCTTCTATCACAACTTTGTTCATTGGCAGGCTGTAAGAAGATGTGTAAGTGTGGTCAGCAACATTGTACAAATCTAAGAGCTTCCACTTTTCCAGCTCCTTTAATCTTTTATGGATTTTTGTTTTTCTTCAAAGTCCTTGCCTAATTTCTGAGTTGCATTTGGAACTAAAATAATAGTTTGTGAATGTAAATATGGTTCGATAATTTCCAATTTAACTGATCTTCGCATTTGGGCTGGTGGCCGGTGCTGGAGCATGAATTATGGTCTGCAGGATGATAGTAAGAATTACGACCCTCCACTCCAAAACCAAGTAAATAGAACTATGGCTCTGATTAATCACGTCATGAATTCTTCTTTCGTTTTTTCCTCCTTTTCTTTTAAATGTTTTTATGTTTCATTCATGGTACCGAACGAATTAGAAAATTTCTCGTGCCAAATTTGATACTACCCATTTCAAGCATTCTCTGGAGTTACGTACTTTTATGACCTAAATTGGCCATGGTCTAATCAAGAAAACACGAATAACTCAGGATTCTTTATGGACAAGTCTGATATGAAACCTGTTCATTGATTTATGGACAAGTCTGATATGAAACCTGTTCATTGATTTGTGGAAAAATACCATTGTCAAAGTTTTCTTAGATCGGAAGCAACAGGACATGTAGCGAGTGGCCACTCTCGTAAACATCAAGCAGTCCTTCAATCTGCTTCCACCAGAAATCCCTCTCATCTATCAGATTCCAAAAGAGAAAAAGTACTAAAAGTCAAATTTTAGTAAAGTTAAAAGAGTCAGAAACACGTTATGCTTCTCTTGGAGGCATTACAATTTGTCTAGAAGTCAGTTTGAATTCCCTTGTATATTTAGTCTTACAGGCCCATCAAGCATTACAAGTTTGGTAACCAATGAAACCGACCTTCAAGGTCCTCCCTAATAAGCCACATATATGAAGTTTCCAAATTCCAAGTCCCCTGGTTTGAGCTTTGAACACCTTCAAATCCAGGCTTGCCTAGCTGTTCATTATACAGACAGACAGGGCACATATATGAAGTTTCCAAATTCCAAGTCCCCTGGTTTGAGCTTTGAACACCTTCAAATCCAGGCTTGCCTAGCTGTTCATTATACAGACAGACAGGGGATTAGGCAAAGTTGGTCACCAACACAATCCATTTCTCATTTGTCACTTGTGGCCTCATCTTCCTATAAAGTTTACACTTCTCTTTCCTAATTCCATCAATCTAATCACAAAGAGCTTCAATCTTCACACTGCACAAGCAATTTTTAGAGAACCAATGGCATACAGAGGTCTGTCAATGAGTTTGGCTCTGATCCTAGTGAGTATGCTATGGTCAGCAGCTATGGCTCAGTCCTCCAGTTGTACAAATGTCTTAATAAGCATGTCACCATGCTGAAATATCACAGGGAACTCCTCAACTCCATCTTCGCAATGCTGCACACAGCTTTCTAGTGTTGTTCGCTCGTCGCCACAATGCTTGTGTGAAGTTCTAAATGGTGGTGGCTCTTCACTTGGAATTAACATCAACCAAACCCAGGCTTTAGCCTTACCTGGAGCTTGCAATGTTCAGACTTCACCCCTCAGCCGCTGCAAGGGTAAGAAATTTTCTTTTCAATCTCCCCTATCCTATCAATTTTAATTGAAAAATTGACATAAGCTAATTATAACTTACCTCTATGTGAACAGCTGCTTCTCCGGCTGACTCTCCTGCAGGAACAGCAGAAGTTCCAACCACTAACCCAGGTATAGCATGCTTCATAAATTAAATTACGAGTAAACTTAGTTGACATATAAAGTTTATAACAGATGAGAAGAGTACTATGTATACCCACCAATTCATGTCTTGTGGGTGTGGGAACTGAATCTAAACTGTACCTTCAACAGAAGTGGATGGCACATCAGATGGAAGCTCCATCAAGTTGTCCATGACAATGCTTGCATTTCTGCTCTTTGCAGCATCATATAGTTCAATCTTCATAACATACTGATTTTCACTATTTGCAGTTACCCTATATTATTGTATTTTATAGAATTTTTATTGATTTCTCTTTGGTTGAGGGTTTATGTATTATTTATTTTACATGGCCTCTTACGGGGTTGTTGTAGTTTTGTATTACTGAAGAGACTTCTTGCTCTCTTCCTTTCCCAATAAAAATAATTTCTAGCCTATTCGTATCTGTCAAATGATTGAAAAATCAAGAAAAAGAATATACCATAAGGGCTTAAAAAGAATTGCCTAGAGTGCATTAAATTAGCAAATATTATTATGTACCAAGTATAATGCTGCTGAGAAAGAAAAATCTGTGTCATGGTCAAACACTCTCACTTTCTGCAATAAACTTACACCATCACACAGAATTACATGGAAGAAAAGCATGTCAAAATCAACTTTCTGCTGCAAATTGCAAGTTCAAGCATGACTACTACAGCAAAAAGCTAAGTATCAGTGCAAAAGGCAATTGAAATTTCCATTGAACAGAAGGCAAACAATGGGTGACTCTTGATGTGTTCATAATTACAGAAGCATCCTTGCTACTGTTCCACAATGTCAAACCACACTGTGCAGCTCATAGCTCAGTCATGATACACTTTACATATTCATACCTGCATGGAAAACTAAAAATTTTGTTAATGCACTTATATATGCATGAGGGCATAAGGCCTAAGCACAAATATATCTTCAAAAGGATCACCTCAACAAAAATTTGATCTTGTTTACATCATTGTGCCTAAACACTCTGCATAGTTGGATTGTCTAATCCAATTACAGAATTTTGACAAGAAGAATAAGGTTGCTGTCAGAGGAAAACTAAAAAGGAAAGCCAAGCCCATATTCAATAAATCATTCGGTTCCAAAACCAATTTTTGAAATGAATGGATGTTATGAATGAACGCATCCATTCTGGCCAATAATGCTATAACTCTACTTCACAATCTTTGAGAACCTAACGGTCTATAACATTCTATTCAAAGGCCCGTCTATTATGTCAATCAAATTCCAAGTTCAAACCAAACCCTGTCCCAGACTTTTTGCTTCCATCAACTCAATATTGTTAACGATTCAAAAATAAGCAGCATTCTTAACACATGTTGCAACCAATAAAATTGATCATAGATACTAAGGGAAATAATTATTCAAATGCAAACACCATGTACTTTACATGAATACAATAAATGCAATCCACAACAAAAAGATGAAATATTCAACATCTGTCACAAAAATGCTAATAGATATTGCCAATTTTATTACCAAAATTTAAAAATATGCCAAAGTTGCTACAAAATGCAAATTTCAAGAATGAGATTACATTCTTCTATTCCATATACTAGAAAAATCGAACTGTAGTTCTTTAATAAACAATAAAGGCAATCCATGACAAAAAGATACCAATTAGACATCCGCCATAAAAATGCTAAGAGATATCATCACATGTTTTATTACCAAAATTTAAATACATGCAAAAATTGCTACAAACATCAAGAATGCAATCGCAGTTGCATATTCTTCTAGCCCATATACTAGAAGAATCCGAATTCCATATACTTTATACACACGATAAAGGCAATTCAAAACAAAAAGGTAACATATTTCAACATCGGTCATATAACAAATTGCTACGAACTTCAAGAATGGGATCGCGATCCTTCTAGTCTGTCCCACACCTCCAATGCTGCAGCCCTGTCCTGGTGCCTCTTACTTTTGCCAATCTGCACATTACCAGTGTTACATGTTTAATTGCCAAGAAACGAACAACGTGGAAAAGTAAAGTAGTAAAAAAAATAAAAATAAAAATAACACGGACAAGGAGCAAACCAAAATCTAATAGAAACCAAGGCTGTAAGCATGAAGCAGCCAGAAAAAATAAGTAAATACTTACCGAGATGATCTTTACTTTCCACTGCTTTACAGTTTTAGCTGATTCAATGCTGTCATCTTCAAAACGCATGAAAAATCCAATAACTGCACAAAAATTCAGTAACAGGGCTTCTAACTAGACCAAAGGGGTATACCTTTGGATTTCTGGGCCCAGAAGCTCCGGCACAGAATGATCAAAAAATGATATCAATGCTTGCTACAAGTCTAAGACAAAATCTTGGCCTCAAAATTACATTCAACGTAATAGACAGAGAGATATCAGGCAAAAACTGTCAAATGCTTCCGGAATAGCACCAATTTTGTGCATGAATTTACATGTCATATGCAAATCATAGTAACGCATTGAGCAGGAGAGATAAGCATGCCGAGGTGACCGCAAGACCCCAAACTATCGCCTAGAAGACCCTACACAAGCTACTCGTCAGGCATATAGACGATATCGGCTCCGTAATAGGGTTTTTAACTAGACCAAATGGGTATACCTTTAGATTTTTGGGCTCAGAAGCTCCGGCACGGAATGGCCTGAAAATGATATCAATGCTTTCTACAGGTCTAAGACAAAATATTATGGCCTCAAAACTGCATTGAAAACAATAGATAGAGAGATATCAGGCAAAAGGCCTGTTCCAAAGGCGATATCGTCTGTACGCCTGATGAGCAGCTTGTATATCGTCTTATAACCGATAGTTCGGGGTCTTGTGGTCAGGCCAACATGCCTATTTCTCTTGGTTGATGCATCGTTATGAATTGAATACTCCATATGAATTCATGTGCAAAACCAATGCCACTAAGGAAGCATTCGACAGTTTTTGCTAAATATCCCTCTGTCTATTGCTTGGCATACCAATTATCTAAATTCCCCAAATAAATTCATTAC